TTAGTTTTCTTATTATATGCATCTCAGCAAGGCTGTGTTTTCTGAAATTGTATAAATTGTTAGGTATTACTCATTTTTGGCTGTGTGCCTCATAAAAGCATGCCTGTTCCTGTTTTTCATAATGCAAGCCAAGATGGGCAGTTTAGCAGGCAATCTCTAAGCTGACAGAATGCCAGCTTTATAGAGAAAAACGCTTCAGATGCGTAAGTGATGAGCAGAACACTTATTTTATTGAAGCTGGGTAAGTTCATTGCATAGGAAATGCAAGTTAGAGATAACTGAGTGATACTTTCTTTGTAACCTTTAAAGCAGCCATCACACTGTGTTGGCTCCGCTGTGTTACTGTACAGAGAAACTGTCCTGATGTGGCATTTGTTTTCGTCTGCTCTACACTTACAGTAGCAAGCCATCTGTGACTTTTCATGCTAGATAGTTACACTGTCTTAGAAGATACACAGGGAATTTGTGCAGCTCTATCTTAGCTTCAAAGCTCAAACAGGGTAAGTCATGAAGTTCCTGTCTTAAAAAGAAAAATTACATTGAAACTGGAAATGTTGTGAGCTGTATTCTCATACATACGTATTCTCATTCTCTTCTAATACATACGTAACTTTTTTTTTAATTGCCTAATGACAGAGACAAACAATTATTAAAATAAGTTTAAGTGGTTTGTTTTATTTTAATGGGTTTGGTTGGTTATTTTTTTACCTCTCAGTGTTAGGTTTTGTGTAGATATATTTTGAATATTTAACGCATACACAGTTAGTGACTAGACGTTCTTTTATATAGGAAAAAAAGCACTATAGGAACAGTTATAAGAGGGATTCTAGTGAAGATGAGTGGTGAGCCGGGAAGACTTTTACATTTCTTACTTGATTCTTAAGGAGAAAGATCAAATTCCCCTGTTTCTGCTTTAGCAAAAGAAGTGTGGTATTGTACAGAGATATCAGACCATATTTTTATGTAAAAAATTATTTCCTGAATAGAGTTTTATAAATCATAAAGCCTTGTAGTATTGGTTTTTTTATTGGCTATAAGATACACAGAGGAGTTGTGTTGTGTGGCCTTCCTGGCATGTCCTTTTGGATGTGCCTGGCCTTGTCTGGGTGTTAATGCTGGAGACCTGAGCATCCAGAGCAGCTGCCATTTGTCCAATCTTACCTGGTGCCATTCTTTCCACAGCAGCCAGGTCTCATCCTCTCTGTGCTCCTCATTTTCTGTTGACAGCGATCTTCCGTGACCCATCCAGACACATAATTTATTAGTTTATTGAACTATAATAGTTAAATGTCTGTGGTTTATAGGAGTTCATCCTATCTGGAGCATTGTTTATTTCTGAATTATAACTGGTCATTTCTAATTGTGCAAGGCTACTGTACTAATCACTGTGACTCCAGTTCCGTAGGATGACTGGCTATTTTCCTAATATAAATCAGCTACATTAAATAGAGTATTTTAGTGAGCTTATTGAAATCAATGAAAGGACTGAAATACTTAGTACTGAATGCAGAGTTGATTTTCTTTGTGATGCTTTTGTGATGTTTTAGAATGCTTTTCACTGAGATATGGGTGAAGAAGTTTCTCTTTAATGGGTACTTAATTAATGTGAAACCACTTCATCTTTATTGTTTTTGAGATTTTCTTTAATCATTATAGTATATTGAGTTGCATAAATAGGAAATACTAAGTCTTGTTTCTTGCTCAAAGGGATTTTTGACTTATTGAAAAAAGAGTTATGGTCTTTATATGAAGAACTTATCTCTTGTTGATGCTTTTCTTTTTTAAGGATTTGGACTAATTTACTAGGAATTTTAATGTAGGGAGATAGGCTCTGGCAAGTGTGTAAAGCCATGATACTTCATTTTATTCTAATAATTTTATTTTTGTGTTTTCTTGCCATGTGCAAATTAATTCTTATTTAGTTGATACAGCTTTTCATCCACAATCCAACAATGTATTTACGGTGTTCTACTTTAATGACAAGTGAACCTTTTTATCTTAAACAACTGCATCTCTTTAAAGATAATATCTTTTAACACAAACAAATCTAATGGATTGCATTTCTTCTCCGTTATTTCCTGGATTTCGCACTTGTGGTGGTAACTGAGGTCAGTCTGCCATTTTCCTGTCGTTTCCCCTCTGACATATATCCCTTATGTTGGGTCACTTACACATATTGGATTGCTTACCTTGCACTCAGTTTCTTTGAAATATATCCATGGAAACTATTTATTTTCTGCATAGGTATGCTCATTATTGTATGCCTATTTTTATGAAGGATATTTTATTATTGAATATTTCATTTTGAAATTATCATTTGACTGTCACGTTTGTGCCTTCAAGTAGAGGACAAAAGGGAGATGTTTAATAATGAGTTGTCATGAGAACTGTTCTGTTAACTATTGAAGAAACAAAGCAAAATGTTTCCAACTTAAAACAAAACAGTGGATGATGAATTGAAGGAAGTATCCAGAAACAGTCTAACAAGTTTGTCTTGTGTTGTAAACAACTGTGCTCTTACTAATTTGGTTTTTTTTTAAGGCATCAGCAAATTAGGGTAGGGAGGCATAGGAGGACAGTGAAGGGATTTGCAAATGCTGACGTGCATCTTCTCTGAAGAGAGAAGGAGTAGGAGGAAGGCCTGATGATAAATTAGCAGCAGTAGCTGTTTGAAAAGACAAGTTAGAGGTAAAACTGGCATTACGTTTCGGAAGAAGAGAAAGTGCGCCTGGGGCCTTGAAAGACTTTTTTGTTGTGCTTTTTTTTTTTCTTTTTTTTTTTTGTAATCACAGATGAAAACTTGAGAAAGGGGTTGGAAACAGTGTCTTAGAGAAAATGATGTGGTAGGAAAATGCTTGTTTACAACAATGTATCTGAATGTGTAAGAATGGACCACAATAGTTAGAGGGGGAAGTTGCAATAATTGCATATACTTTGTGTTTCACCTCTCAAGTATATTTGTCACAGATGGATATGAAGGACCAGGCTTTGTAAAATGTGTTTACATTAGATAAAATGTCTTCAGCTTCAGCTGCTTTGCTTATTTCGGCATGAGAATTGCCTGCATGTCATGGTGCTCACCCTGGTGTCTGTCCCTGGACTTAATCTGCAAAAGCCTCCAGCACATTAAAATTTCGATTGACTTTGACAACTGCCCTATTTGTGAAAAGCACATGTTGCATATTTTTCTCACCTGTTGTGGAAAGGTAGTGGAGGTGGCAGGGGAAATGGTGGCTTAGAAAAGTGGCTGCTGAGATAAGAAGTTGCTTGCAACTTCATTCTGAAGGAAGAACATCCTTTCCCCTTACAATAACCCCAAAACTTATAAAATATTTTGAAAATATGAAGAATTCTAGTGCTTTTAGATAATTATGCCTTCAGCAATTACATTCTTCTGGGTCCCATAAAATAAAATGCTAATTGTTTTACAAAGCATGTTTAAGTAAACTTTTTAATTTTTGCAGTGTGGATTCAGCTGTGGGCTTTTGTGATTTAGCAGGATTCACCTTTATGCACCTTTTCCCATTGCTTTTAAAAACCTTTCATGTTGTCGTATAAAAAAAAAAAGGAGTGAAAGCAAGAAATTATGTTTATATAATCTTCATGAAGAAAATTGTAAACCTCTTTAAACCAGTGGGTTTTTTAGAATAAAAAAATATTGAGCTTGTGTGCCTTTGTTATTACAGCTGGGTCAGTTTAAACTTGTTTCTGGCCTCGTGTTCCCTTCTTCCCGCTAACCCTTCTGTGCCTCAGACCTCACTCAGCCCATGGGAAGTCTGGCACAGAGGAGGAGAAAGAGGGCACTGGCAGTGTTTGGACATGCATTCTGAGTATTTCTGGATACTGAACTGTCCCTAATTGTCTTTCATAAACCTAGGAGTAGAGAAGCTTCAGTACTTTTTGCTGTATGTTTTCCTTTTTCTTTTTTTTTTTTTTTTTTTTTTTTTTTTTTTTTTTTTTTTTTTTTTCTTTTTTTCAGTTTTACTTTTCAGTAAGGAGTCAGTTTTGTTTGCTTCAAGTACCCTTCTGCTGGTGAAATGCTGGACTATTGATGACTGTGACCAGTGTTTAGAAAAAGTTTTAAACTAATAAGCAATTGCTATTTCCAGCCACTTTGCTGGAGAGTTTAGCTTTTTCAAAATCCAGTTTGAAAAGCTTGTGTTTCCATCAGGAAAAGAGCAGCTTCTTTTACAGCTTCTAAATAATATGCCAAGAGCGTCAACTGATTTAAAATGAAGGTTCCTAAAGTACATCAAAGTTTATTCTAAATAGCATCTGAGAGTAAGCAACGCATTTCAGGCACATCAGAGGTGAAAATCAGTCCCGTCATCATGTATCTAGCAGCAGAGCTGCAACTAGTGATCAGGTGTTCTGTATAAGAGAGTGCAGAAGAGTCATTGCTGATGTTTCTCCTTGTGTTCAGGAGGGCATTTTTGCACTGCATTTGCAGTCTGAGGACTACTAGCTGGGGAAATTATATAGAGCAGACACAGAGCACACAGTGGTCCTTGTCATTAGACCATTGTTTTTTTGTAGGTTTGGTGGCACAAATGTTTTTTGTAATCAGATCTCAATAAATGGTGATTTGTGACTGGTACACTGTGAATGGATTACTTTAAACATCTTGATGGTGATGTGATTAATCCTATGAGCTGATTACTATTACTTTATAATTTCTGCAGGTTTAATTTTGGGATTTTTTGGAGGAGGTTTTTTTTATGCTTTGCACAGAGATTGTGGCCCTTTTTGCAACATTTGCTTCTTGCAGTTAACAGAAACTGTTATCTGTTCTGATTAAAACCTTGAACACCGTCTCTTTTTTTGGTTATTGTTGCTTCTGTTGTCCCTCCATCTTATCTTCAGTTGCCAGATTGTTCTGAGTCATGGCTGCTGGTATAATATTTTTCCACTCTTCTCTGAAGATGTGCTGTTTATTGATGGCAGTGTTAATTGTAGGATCCATAGTATTCAGTTCTGCACAAGAAAGGGACTTCAATTTGCCCAGTCCAGGAACAGAAGGTAACTGTGGGGTGACTTTGTTCCTTGACTCAAAATGCATCTGAGAGCCTGAATTACAGTATCTTGGTAGCATCCTAGGCAGGAATGAAGCAGTGTCTCTGGAGACACCTTCTATGGTAGAAGCTGAAATAACAATGCAGAGTGTTCATGCCTGGATTTTAGAAAAGTAAGGTTCTCTAAAATCTTACTGTGGGACTTTTTGCTGTTATTTTTTATATAAATGTATACTGCAGCCTTTTATTTTTACATTAATCATGATTCTTGGTGTAAATTCTCAACTAATTATATGTCATGCTAGGGAAGAAAGAGTCAAGAAAATTTTATAGTGACTGATTTTTTCCCCCACTGTTTTATGATAAAATATTTTAAGACTTGTAAGGGTTTGAATCATTATCATAGTAATTCTTTTATAGCTCTCTATTTTATATACATACATATGTGTATGTGTGTTAGAATACTTGACTTTTAAGGGTGAGGGAAGATGATTTGAAGATAGTACCTACGTATTTCCTTCTTTATTTCAGTGCACGTTACCTATCCAAGCACACATCGCAAGGTATAATTAAATGGTCGTCTCTTGTGTTTAGCATTGGTGTGGTGATGGCTTTACTTCGGCTTTCTCTTGCTTACTTACTCCTTAGTATTAAAATTGACAGTCTGGGAAATGGAAAAACAATGCAACAAAAAGGGATGCCCACAGACATAGAAATAATTGTAAATAGTACCTCCTTTTGTAGCTGAAAGTGACCAGGTTTTCTTAGGCCTTTAGTGAGAATTTAGGAAAAGTAAATGATTTAGTAAGAATAAATGCTGGATGGGCTTAAGGGATGATTTTCACTGAGTTGCAAATTTCTCTTTTATTTTAAACACATTCCTCCTTTTGGTTGAGTTTAATAATCCGTGACATAGAAGTGGTTCTTTGAGCTGTTTTGCGGAACTAAGTTATGGTATTTCTTTTCATGAAAAGCCATGACGGAACTCAAAACTTATCATCTGCAGGATGAGGTACTAGTGTTTGAAATTAGTTTTTGGTTTGCATGCCTGTTGGAGAAAACTCTTTGCCTTCCAAAATGTGGCAGATAATATATTTTAAAGGAAATTCAGAAGAGATGCCATGCTATTTGAAGTCTAATTTTACCAACCTTGCCATTCAGAAAAATGTTTGAGAATTCCAGGAGACATCTTTGTTTTTGTTGCTCTTTGAAAGGAGAGTTTAGGGGATGATCCAAGATAAGTAATGGAGAATTACAGTGTAAAATTAGATCATTTAAAGAGTGCAATAAAACTCTAAAAAACCTTAAAGTGTAGGCCGTGAGTCAAGTTTTTGCTATAGCAATTCTGTTTGGGAGGTGATTTATTGGGAACAATGATGCATTCGACTTCAGTGATACTGATTTGCTACTTTTACCATATGTCGGAAGTTCAAGTAGAACAATACACACAATGAATTTCAAAAAAGAATCAATGGTGAAGTATGTCTTTGAGCATAAGTACTAGTTCTTCTGTGGAAGGGGAAGAATGTCCAGTATTTCAGTAAACATAAAAAATTTTGCATGGTGGTCAGTTTTCTTGAGAATCAGATATAATTATTGTGTTGCAAACAAGAGTTTACCCACATCTTCATGTAAGACTGTCTTGTCTAAGATGCATTTTGGGGAGTAGAGAAGCAGCTGAAATGATATAACTTGTCTGAACCGAGCAACTTCTCAAAATCCATCCAGAGCTGTTCTTACATGACACATAGTTCTCCCTTGCTAATAGTCTCACGTCCAGCTTGTTTCAGAGGACCTTATTGCATTTTGTAATGTATTAATAGAACCATTTTGTGATACAGATGATTTAAAAATAGGACTATCTGGGAAGAAAGGCATAGCAAATGAATGCTCTTCTACTTTAGGATGAAATTATTGGAAATGTTGGATTCATTAAAAATTCACTTCTGCTACTACCTTTCCCAGTATTTTAACTGTGAGCTTCATCTTGTGCACAGTACCAAGTTTCTTGCTTTCTTACTGTCAGTATTTCTTATGAGATGGAGTACTTGCTTCCTCATTAGTCCTTTGGGAGTAATTGTAGGTATACAAAGGCTGAAATCAGAGTTGAATGAATTCCAGTCTTGTTTGTTTGGTGTTTTGTGGAGACCAGTGGGAATGCTTATAGTGACCTGTAAGAAATTTTTACCATGGTTGCTGCTCTCCAACTTTCCCTGTTCCTTTGCCATCAAGGGGACATCTCTGGCACTCTTAACCAATCTTTTTTCTCTAAGGAGGTGGATCACACATTGTAAGTAGTGTGTCTGTTAAAAAAAAAAAAAAGAAAGAAAATAAAAGCTACTCCTCTTGGTTATGCTGTTGCAAATGAAGGTGATGTTTCTTCTGAGGCAATTTTTGTGGAATACATCCTAAGAAAGGGGTTGCAGGCTTACGTTATTTTTCTGATTTTTCCATCTTTTCCTTGCTTTGAATTGCTGATGCACAGGGGCAAGTAAAAGAGCACTGGAAAAGCTCTGACATAATCTATTTGATGGAAAACAGAGGGTAAGGCAGAATGGGAGAAAATGCCAAAAGAAATAAACTGTGTTCCGATGCAGTTTGTAGCATACACAGTTAGCAGTACTAGGTGAGCTAACTGAGGTTTTATATAGGTTTCCCCACAAGATTTCCACTATGCACTTTGGGGAGTCAGAACTGAGGTGCTCTTGAGTAGCACTAACTGCTTTTATTGACTTCATACCCCACTGTACAGTTGAAGTGCCTTGAAAATGAGCTTGTCAATTTTGTCATACTTTTTTGTCGAAAGACTTTGACATTTCCAAACATGTTACTCAAAAGGATATAGAGAAAATATTGTGATAACTGTAATTTTCTCTTTAAGCTTCCCCTTATTAATTTCAACTTTTTTGAGAAAACTGATTTTAATTTACAAACTGCAACCTGAAAAAAACAACAGATGCTTTAAATCCCAGTACTATATCCTCTGTTAAAAATTGCAGTAAATTCTACTCTATTAAAAACAAACAAACAAACAAACAAAAAAACCCCCAAGGAAACCATAGTGCACATAGCCTACTCATCCTTTATAGCTGTCTCTAATGACTCTTGTGATTTACAGATGTTTCAAGACACGCAAAAATGGGACATGAATTGGTCTGTTATCAGCAATCAGCAAATAGCACTGTCTCTTGTTGCAGTTTTAAGCATTTAAGAATGTGTAAACAAGAACAAGATTCTTGGTGCTGAGTTTATTAACCTGTCACTTAATGACTTGCCTTATTCTTTGCATTTCAATATTAGTTTTGATTTCCTTCAGTCACTGAATCTAGATTTTCTGCCTCTCAAATGGGATCTGCTTTTCCGTTTACAGGCTATGCAGCGCTTTCCCACTAATGCTCTATAGGAAAATGAATTGTTTTCCTGACTACCCATTATAAAAACAGACGATCCTCATACTTTGTAAAAAAGGAAGGTAGCCTGTATACCTGAAATTGGTGTATCAAGAAGTGTTTATTGCTGTCTTTTATTGTTAGTATTTTTCTGAGCTGCCCTTTAGTGGATAGGAGGACAAGGAATTACTGAGCCAGAGGAGGATATATCTTGCTTTGTGTTTTGAGCCAATAAGCTCCATTCTAACAGCTCTGAGATATGTCACCAACCTGTTGTAACAAGATGTGCATAATAAAGTAAAAATAGGGTGCTCATCTTTATTTTCCCTGCTCTTTGGTCTCTGCCTCCAGAACTGCCCAGCTCTGCATCTCAAACCGTATTAACTGCCAAATTCTCCATTTGCTCTCCCTGCTCTGAGGCTTTAGCAACAAACTAAAAGACCCATAGGTCTTCTGGGGAAGAGCATGTTCCAACAAGGAAATAGAGAAACCTTTCCTATTTTTTTTTCCCAGTGATTTCTTCTAGTAGCACACAAAACAGTGTAAAGGATCTCTTTCTTGAAGTTGGTAGAGAAAATCTTCTTCCGAATGTTGCTGCATCTGAACAGTGACCTTAAGAGGATTTTTTGGGAACCAGTAGAGGCTGTAACATAGGTTCATCAAGATGAACATTTTTGTGTATTTGGGGTCTAATTTTGGGTAACTGGGGAGGTTTATTTGATCTCTCAAAGACCAGCTTCTCCAGATGCAACACAATTAAGACTGTGACTCAAATCTTTGTTATGTCACTAGAGGAATTATCGGAAGATAACTCTTTGCATAGAAATATGTGAACACAAACAAAAGACATATTTTCATTTTTGTAATCCTTTGACTTTATTTTGATTGGCAGTGGAGGCTAAAAGTAGCAGATAAACTGGTTTTAGTTTCTTTTCTACCATTGAGAAAGGAGAGAGGGGATAAGAAATTAACAGAAATTAAGGAGGGGGAAAAAAACCCCAACACATATTGATTTTTGTTTTAAATAGATTGATTTTGGGAAAGAAAAGGCTCTTCCATTAACAACATAGTGTAGTCCTGAAACTAGTTTAAACAGTTGCATCATTTTAAGTTGATTAAGACAGTAGAATAAAGAAGCTTCTACCAGACTGTCTGATGAAAACATTGTTGAGTGCCCTGCTAGGATGCTAAGATTTCCAGTAAGTCAAGGTTGCATATTTACGAGTAAATGTTCCCTTTGGATTAAGTCCTTCTTCCCATTGCTAAAAGGAAAGAAAAGTTTAAATTAGAATTCTGATAAATTAAAGTGTTCACCATTGCTCAGAAGTTTCTGAGGGAGAGAACCGGAGAGGTCTACTGGATGTGCAAAGTGATGTGCACTTCTGGACCAGCACCAACTGTGTGGTGTCATGATGGCAGAATGAAGAGCACAGGTCCTAACCCTGAGGAGGTGGAGGTGCCATGCGCAAAAATATTCCTGTGTTGTGGCAAGAGGAAATAGACATTTCTGTTCATTTGTGAACAAGTAATTCAAAAGGATCTTTGTACCTACTCTTGTTTCTGGATGAGAGAATAAGAATGCTTCCTTGGGAGAGGGTTGGAAGGAAACTATGAAATG